CTTATCTATGCTAATATTATAAAGAGGTATTTGTAGGTTTGTACGTAAAGGGGAATCTTTGCAAGCGCTTTGGTCAGATTTCCAAAATTCTTTCCCCGATAGATAGCTTCAATGTTCCTGATTGACTGGTTCCTACATTGTTCCTGAGTGCTTTTTTCGGTCGGGAGAGAGTGTCACACTCTTACTGACTAAAAATCCCCCGTTCCTTCTCTTGCCGAGGCCGAGGTCGCGGTGCCTCATTGCGCAACCCCGGCTGAACATCAGCCCTATAGGGCCCCGTTTGTGGTGGTCTATTAGCTTTTTGAGGCGCGGAACGCTACGCGCCGTACACTCGGGTCTGGTTCTGGTCGGCTGGCGAGCTACTCTTACTCACCGTCCGCAGACCCGCGGATACGGTGGCCCTAAATCGTCTCTTTGTCCCCGACGACCGGAGTGTCGCCTGCGGCGGTGGCTGGGGCGTTAGGAGGAGGGTTGTTCCCTCACGCGGTCCGCCTCCTTCTTTGCGAGCATAACTGCTTCACATGTCCTCGACTAAGGCCGGGCGTGAGAGGTCGCCAACGCCGATCACTTCCCTGAGGACACGGCGGTGGTGCTCAGCCTAGGCAGGGCATAACCGTATGCTCCACTGTGTTCCTGAGTGCTATAGACTAAATTATATTTGATTCGCGTATTTTAGTCGAGCTATCGCTTTAAACGCTGTTGTTATAAAAATCCCTGGATACATTACTTTTATAAGCGTGCGAAGGCGCGCGTGGAAGGTAGTATTAAATATCACCAATACACGATTGGCCAATTTCAATAGCCGACGTAAAATTTTTCGAAGAACCATTGTAATTGAAGCTGGATTTACAATTTCTTAGTACTTATATTAAATCTGAGATCATCGTTTTTATAAGTTAAAACTAATTGACGATTTCCAATTTTTTTTAGAAGCTTGCTATCGGAATCGGTTCTTAGTAACGCAATGCTCTTATCTTTTACTTATATCATTGATTCTAGGATTTCAAGAGTGTACTGATCAATCGAACCTTTCGCTCCTCTCCTCTCGTTACTAAATAGAAAATCATTTTGTGATTTCTCATATACAATTATACATATCTTATTTTTTCTTTTACCGTGAAGAAATCGTGATTTGATTTTCCTGTCCAAATATATTTTGAGACGTATCTTAATCTGGTTGTAGTCAAAGTATTTATTTATTTAAATTTTCACATTTGAAAAGAGCGAGAAATTCATGTTCCAAAGTTAAAATTCATAAAGAGAAGAACGAGTAAGAAACTATTATCTAGATTATAATTGCCATGGTTGATCCATCCAGTAGCAAAGTGCAGTTGACTTTATAAACGATACTATCATCAGTCTATTTGTGGAAGCTACGTAGTCTTGTAATTGTGACAAAAATGTAAAGCATTGGCTTCAAGGAGTGTCATGTTGAACCTCCATGAACTTACAATCTCTTCCTCTTTGTCAAAAGGGACAAAAGGTTCAAAATCCTGTAATTTAGTTAAGAACAATGAACTTTTCGAACTTTAGTAAGTCCTTTAGGGAGATATTGAAATTACCGTAATATCTACAGAAGTTGAAAAAAAGTATGCTATTTTGGTCGAGTTTTATATCGCGTTCTTTAGAACGGAACAAAGTTCATTGCCGCGTCTGTTTGTCTGTCTAAGTATATGGACGTGATCAACACAAAAACTGCTGAATGGATTTCGTGGTGATTCACGATAAAGTTTTAGTGTGTAAATTGCCTTATGTGGAGTGTAAAGTGGGATTTGGTTACTAGTTTGAGCATAAAACCACCATATTCTAGTTCTCTTGTTCTGATCGTATCTCGCTTGTTGTTAAGAAGCGGTACTTGGGTAAGTTTTCAGACGTGACAGAATAAAACTGGGTACTTCTACCCACTATGTGGGAGGCAACTGTTTTATCACGGATTTTTTACAGTTTGTTTTGAAAATAAGCGTATATACCTATTAAAAAAACATTTCGCTGTCCATCATCTTCTTGCCAAAATATTAATTCCCTATGAAGGTTACAACGTTTAAAAACCATTTTGTATTAGATTATTTTCTATTAATTCGCATTTGAATTTTTCAGAATATATCTACTGAGGAAATTGAGAGGAAGAAGCCTCTTCTCATACAAAGAAAATTATTTATGTTAATTGGTTTAGAATTACTGGCTTTCCGTGTTTTTGACAAGATCTGAATGTAAATGCTAACTATCTGATTATTGTCAGGGTAGAGCACCAAAGAGCACAATACAGGTTAAAAAAGCAAACAGTGAAAATCATTTGTTTCAATTCTATTAAGGGCTAATTTTTCAATAGTCAGATAAATGTTATCTGAGGAATAAAATTGTTGCTATCACTGTCTTATACAAATATTCTGACGCGACAGCATCATAATTATTCCCTACGTAAGTTTTATCTAACTACTGAAAAATCAGCCTTAAAGGTAAAAAACAAAACTACTTGTTTTCACTATCATCTGATACTTAGTGAAACTGATTGAAAAAGAATCTTGTTACATTATTAACTTGGATTTTCAAGTGTCATATTCATAGTCCAAAAGGCACCTAGAAGTCCTGTTACAAACAGGCCAATGAGCGGACGAAAAGCCTTTGTAGTAGAGTCCCTAGGGGCACGGAAACCTAATCGATTACTGTGTTGGAATTAACCACCAATCAAGTTAGCTCTTCCAGTAGCTTACGACTGTTTGATAGTTAATTATCTATCGTCCTCATTTTAATCACATAGCAAGCTTATAAAATAATTTAATCAAAAGTGAACACCTACTTATGAAGTTTCGAAAGTGCCTAAGTAAATAATGAACTTATAAGTTCAGATATGCTTACGGTTTTTTCGTTCACCATATGTCAATGGGGTTTTAATAATCATAGAAAGTACATTAAGTCACATTCGTTCCTGCCTGCTGCCCGCACCCGCACCCTCGTGCATGAGGCCTTAACTTCCGGGCCAAGACGACGTCGAATAATTAGAATAATTTAATTAGTTCCAAATTTTAAATATTGTGACTCATTAAATTTTGCGTAAAATTATTATAAGTAGTTTCCCACTTAGTATTATACAAGAGTGCCGTAAAACCTTATGTAGGTTGCTGCATAATTAAATTTCAATATCTGGGTCATTTACTGACTCACTAATTCATGACGTTTGGAAGCTAAGTATTGAGTGAATTCGAGTCCAGAATTGGGTACTAGAGCTAGTAAAAAATACACTCGTTTTAAACACTATAATACCTTCCAAAGCTCCGGGAACCTGTGGTACCGCGAATAGAAGAAATTATCAATAAATTATCAAAAAATATCAATCGTGCTAATATTCACCATTTGGAACGAGCACCTAGCTTCACTGACGAACAGACTGACAGACTACTATTCTATTTTGACGTTTTAAAAGTACCTATTTATGGTTTAGTTGGAATAAATAATTAATAAATAATAATTTTGACGTAGACTTGAATCGTGTCGCGACTTTAAGCGCGTGTAAACTTTTTTAATACCAAAAAGTGTGTTGGTTACTTTAATTAATTAATTTAAGTGCTGGATGAAACATCAGTTTTTCGCTCCATTTGCTCTCCGATACCAAGCACGAATGAACGTGTTAAATGATACTTTTACTGTACTATAATATTATCTTATACATATATTGGACGGCGTAAGAGCCGTCTTACGAAATTCACCCCGGGAAGTATGCAGTCCTATAATTGACACTAAGGGTTTGCATCCGCGGATCCTTGTTGTTGCCCACTTCTTTTATTGTTAATGAGATTTGTTTTATTTCGGAGTAGATTTCTCATACTGGTTTTGTACCTACATTTTCCGGTTTGTCCAGAATAGGTAATAAAGTACCAATGTCACTTTTCGAATGATATGTACTTTCTAAGCTATTATTAGGCACCATGGATATACAGTGAAAGAAAACTTCGTGAGACAATAATGATAGGTTTCAAATCGCTAATAAGCCTTATCTAAGCGTGGTGATGTGTAGAGCACGTGTATAATATTTGTGGTCGTAAACGGAAAGTTATTTCAGACTTCTTTGGTAAATTTCGTTCAGATTCATTCTGTATTTTTTACGTTAAAGAGTAACAAACATCCATTCGGATATTTAAACTGTGGCGTTTGTAACATATTATTAATCAGATTTAGTAAAAAAGTTAAGTATATTTAATAAAGATCCCTCTAAAATGCGTAGTATTCAATAATCTGAGAAGTTAATCGTCATATATTTAATGGGCTATAAAATTAAGTATTGATATTTGACCCTGCACTTATTTAGATACAGTTTATGTTAATCTTATAATAAATAAGTAACTTGTTATTTCCTGATCTTTTATTAAGCGGAGGAAGCTATTATATATCTAGACCTGGCTTCTAAAATTTTGATTGAATCGGTTCATCTTGGTAGTCACGTTTTAGTGGCTCAATAAAACGCTTTACGAACTTAATAATTTAAATATTTATGTTGATTTATCGATCTGCTTTACTAGTCTGTAATAAAGCTAACATTGTATTATTATCTATAGGCTTTGTTTTGTCACGTTTTTCTTAATATAAAACTTGAACAAGTTGTTTTTATTTAAAACTGAATTATTCCTGACTACGACACTGCTACGCCTACAGTACACGAAGGTAAACTGAGCTGTTGTTTAGAAAAAATACAATGTGGGAGTATCAAATGAAGTGTATCAAATGCTTTATAGCTACTGTACTTATTATATTATTCCAAACTTAGCTTTTACAGCCTGTAGAGGTAGATAGGTGTTTGATCAAGGGATTAAAGTATGTACTGAAAGTTATTTAGCGAGGGTCTGTAATGTTAAGAAGAAGACAGGTAAGTGAGGTGTGAGGTCACCTTTAGCAGTCATGTGGACGTACGTGTCGGCGCCGTCCCCCCAGCGCGCGCGCACGCGGCGCATCCCCGCTACGCCGACTATAAAAGACCAAGCCCAAACTTGCCGCGCGCTATTACAACAGTGACTCTGTGATTTTTCCCGCCGTGTATTTATTTAAATCAACAATAAAGGTAAGTGAACTTGACTAAGGGTACAGGGATGATTTGGGGATATTCAAGGATAGATTAACCTTTAAGAAAAATAATTAAATATAAGTTTGCGCAATAAAATTTTTTACTTACAAGTCGGCTTCAAAAGTATTTCTTCATACACAATCAAGTCAATGCATCTTATTTTGATAAATCGTTGCATAAGTCCGAGCTTAAAGTTAATTTAAAGTCGCACACCGCGGTTATCGTCGACGCGTTGAGTTGCGTCAATTCATTCATACGATGATTGCTCTCGTCAAATTTGACGCGAAAATTACTAAGTCCGATAGTGTCCTTAGAGTACGCAGACTGTTGCGGATTACAGGCAATGTACACAGTATGTATGTCAAGCCGCAGTTGCAACACGGCGGTCTGATGCTGAGAATATGTCTGAGAGCCCTTTTCTATGAAGTTTCGTCACGTGCTAGACTTTCAACTGATGAGACTTATCGGTTGCTGCACCTGCCTCGACTACACTCGAGCGTTCGAGGACACAATGCGGTGCTGCTCGAAGGAAATCAAACGTGCGAATAAATTTAACCCCAACCCCACAACTCAGCGACGACGCCGAGTTCGTCCTGCGGTTTAAAACAACCTTAAGATTATTTAAATAATTCGTTAATGTTAAGCATCAAAATAGTGTTTCAAAATGTAACATTGTGGATTGTGGAGGTCGACAACACTGAAAGATGTGGACTTTCAAATATTTATTGTATACGACTCGAAAATATGTGAGTTAAGTAATATTTGGGTGTCAAGTCAATGGAACCTGTTTCTGATTATTAACATTACTGATAAACGATCAACAGTAGAGTTGGCTGCGTGCTCTTGGACGAGACGATTTAAAAATAAAAAAAGTCCGTCGACATTATTCCGTGATAGTATGACAAAATTAAGATATTGATACTAATAATTATATTTAGAATATTAAATATAACAGATTAAAAACGAAAACACACAAATACAAATAAATTATTAAATCGTTATTTCATTTTAATATTTATTTTCATAAATAGAACGTTTTGTTGTAAATAAACCTTTAAATACATTTACGTCGGAAAAATGATATCGGGAGGATTTATAAATAAAAAATGGAGTCGTAATATGTATATTTACATATAAAAACGTAATAGATTGACATTTTAGACCAGAATGTTTATATCATTTTAATATTAAAGTTATATTAAGTTGTACTGAATAATAATAACATGTTAGTCTAGCTTTGAACTATAAGCCTAATTCTAATCCTACGCACTATAATAAAGCTATGAATAATGATATTGAAATAGCCACTTTGGCATAATATCGTGTGTTTAAGTCGATGATGCATAAGCTTGGATACGTTCACCACCGTCCAAAGTACATTATTTGCAATACACCCTTTTTTGAAATGGGTTTGTTTGCCTAACAAACTCCATGCAGGTATTTGTGAAAAGTATAATTGTATTTCCGATGGATTTTATCCCATTTAAACTATGATTCTGCCTGCAACTCGGTGGTTGGGTATAAAATTCAATAAAAAAACTTCCGAAATCAAAGAAAATAATAAGAAAAAATTAATAAAGTCGAAAACACTTATCGATATTACTTATTACTATATTAATACGTAAACCGCGTGTAGAGCTCTTAATTTTTCACATATAAACTTTATTTATTTATTAAATCGTTATGTTTATGTTCTTTCATTCCTATAATTTCATTCATTCATTCATTCCTAAGTTTTAATCCAAACAGGGTGTGATAAAACAAAAGTATTTTATTTTCAAAAAACTTAATCTTTCAAGCAAGTTAAGTTAAATAAAAATATACATAATTTTATACAGACAATACTTACAAAAATAAATTACTTATAAATAACTACAATGTAATTTTTATAAGAATACAATAGAAAAAAATACATCTTAAATAAAGTTATCATATACACATTGAAATTTAAATAGTTGTGAGTAATTAAAAAAAAAATCGGTTGCTTACTTTATATTTATATATTCATTTCAATTAAATCGTGATTTTTATTACCGATTAAGTCTCGTGACTGTTTTTCTTATGTGATACGTCGGCAAACGTGCAGACGGATTACCTAATGGTAAGCAATCGGTGGCGCCCATGGACACCCCTAACACCAATGGAGTCACGAGAGCGTTGCCGGCCATTTCGGGATTAGGATTTTGGAGATTTAGGGATTGGCAGAAGAAGGATTAGAGCTCCAGTAACTTCACTCACACAACGTTATGTTATAAATCGTAATATTATGTTAGTGCGATATATTACTAGGCCTTCGGTTCTTTCTTTGGCAGGTCAAAATGATCCTGTTATTATTATAATTATTTTCGTTTGAAGTACCTACGAGCTAAGTCTCTCTGATATATAGTTTCAATATATTCATAAATGAGTTTCGTAAATTGAAAACAGCACGCGACTTTTAAAGCTAAGTGCATTGATAACCTGAGTTTGAATTGATCAAACTCTTTGAATATTTGGCTAGGATTTAGTCAACTATCGATTCGGAATTAGAAACATTTTGTTTAGAAGAGAAAATCCATTTTATAACTATAATCTATACTAACATTATAGAGAGGTAAAATTTGTATGGTTGTAAGTTTGTATGAAGAGGGTAATCGTTGGAACCGCTGGTCGGATTGCCAAAATTCTTTCACTGATAGATAGCTACAATGTTCCTGAGTGCTATAGGCTATAAAACATCACGCTATGATTAAATGGAGCCGAGCAGCGGGTGAAACCGCGCGAGAGTAACTATAACAACATAAACCAAATACTTTCATATATCATATTGTTTACACTAAGCCTTATAAAAACACAGATGTAGTAGTATTAAAAAAACATATATTAAGCATGAATGAAAAAATACAAATACAGTTAAAAAGACTTACAACAACAATTGTACCTGACAAGATTTGAACCTGTGACCTCGAGCGTACCGTGATGCTGACAACTGCTAATGGTGATGGGAATCAGTTACGAACAATACTCTAACCGTCATATCCCGAGGTTATCTCTCTAACTTAGTTATTTCCTTTGCGAACTTTAACCACGGCAAAGTTCTCAGAAGACTTTTTATAATAATTTATTGCTTTATAATTATTTTGTACCGAAAACAATTTGTTAAGTACCAGCATCTTTTTTTCAACGGCCATTATTTGACAGTTTCTTCACGAATCCCTTGTAGTAAGAATGTTTGAAATTGCCGCTAACCACTAGTACAGTTATAGAGAGCACTGATATTCAGCAGAATTTCAGAAACACTGAAAATGCAAACTCGACTTTGCTGATCGCAGGCTAACCATGGCAGCTATACTAGAGGATAAATAAACAGGATAATAAAAAGAAATCTCGTCCACATTCCGAGTAGTATAAACGTAATGTCAACAGCTATTAACTATACTTAAGTACTAATAGGGAACGAATTAATTATTACCACCTAAATAAAATTCAAAATAAATTTACTGTTAAGGAATTTAGCAAAAAACCTAAATGAGAAGGACTATAGCATAAAGCTTCCCATAATAATTTCGCATTTTCATTTTAAGCTATCACACAACTAGATAATTCAATTTTTAAAACGACACCAAAAAAAAGAAGTGATGAAGACTTTTAGAAAACAAATTCATAACTGTTCCAAGCTTTATAAGTTTAAAGCATAAAAAAGGTTATTTTATTTAAGCAAATAAGAAAAAAAATGATGTTCTCTAGCTAAAGAACAATCACTTAGTACCTCTGCCCCGAAGTACATAAGACAAGTACTTAGTCAAACTTGGTTTAAGTAACTTTTAACCACAAAACGTAAACTCAGATGTTTTGTTACTATGTTGTGAAATCGTGACTTGTTCTCTGTCGCTATTTAACTAATTATTTAGGTAGGTCGTCCTACAAGACGGATGGAGAGAATTATGATCCTTTTTTATTAATTCGCCAAGTACCTAATCAAGGATGCTCTTAATAACGTTTGGACTTTAATCCCTTTGCGTATGAGAATTATCATTACACTACAATTAAGTATATCCATTAGTGTTTTCTTTCAAAATAATCGTTGTTTTTTAAAGAATATTTTGATGATCTTTGCGACACATAATATACTTGCTTAAACGTTATAGTTTCTTCTTGGATCTTTAACAGTTTGAAAATATAGAGCATCATCATTCTCATTATCACTTCATCTAACTAGATAGTGTCCATTAAGAGTACATGATTACTATGTACTTAAAAGTTTAGATTGAACAAGTTGATTAAAAATGACCAAAAATAATATTGCTTAATCCATTTTTAACAAATCGATCGCGACTAAATAGTAAGCAGTTTAAAAACTAACGATTTCCCTTTAAAAAATAAAATTAAGTAAAGTCGGATGCATCAATTTACTAGCGACTAATCAATTAGTCAACTTCATTTAAGTTAATTAGACGAGAAAATTGAGCTCGGAGACATGTTTACATATTAACCACTTGTTTAATTATGTACTAACAACATCGTAGATTTAATCGTTGTTAATTTGTAATGATGAGTCTGGAATGTGTAGATTTATCTTGTTGCCTGCCAATTGGCTTATCATTTAGCTTAATAAGTTCAGTTAGTACTTAGTTAGGCTTAGTTACTAAGGTTTTTGTAATTCAACAAACGACTTCTCTAGTCCTGGGTGGCACGAAATGGAGTGTAAGACTCTTACAGACTTAAAACCCCCTCATTGCTTTTCCTGCTTCAGGTCGGGGTACCTCTATGGAAGCGTAATTGCACCCGCGACCCAGGATTAGTTACATTACTATCAAACAAGCCGTATTTTTTGTTGCTACAAATCGTCATCACTATCAGGCTATAAGTGCCCACTGCTGAGTAAAGGCCTCTTCTCACACGGAGAAGGTTTGAGCATTAATCACGACGCTTGCTCAATGCGGGTTGGCGGTTTCAAACTTATATTTAGAAATTATAAGTCCAGGTTTCCTCACGCATTTTTACTTCGCCGTTTGTCA